ATGTGTAGCTAAGGTTGTGATCCTAGGAATGCAGGATTCTTCTTTAACCCTGATTCCCTGCTGTAAGCAAAATCCATATGCTGAAGTTTTTTTGTTAGTTTGCTTGTTTTAAAGTTTAAAATGCATCAGATTTCTGCCTCTAAATGGAAGGGGCATTTCTGACTCTAAAATGTTCCCCCTTCATTTTTTTCCTCCTATATTGAAATGCGGAAAAAATAAGTTTGGGTATGGGGCTGGGGGTGGAGGGTCTGGAATGTGACCAGAAAAGAAAACGAATGTTGTGGAAGAAAAAAGGGTCCACCTACTAAACCTGACAAGCTCAGGGGAGGCCAGTGTAGCAGGCCCTACAAACTCAGAGACTGAAATTAACCACATAGGATGATCTGAACATGAAAATTCCTAACTAAAAGCAGGTCATGGTGAGGAGTCACATCCTTGGCCTGTAGCTTCCTTGGCAAAGGTCAAATCTTTACCTCAAGTGAGCCTGCTCATTTTCTTTTTGCATCTAAGATAACATACTCTTGGAATGTCAGAGTAACCCCTTTTTCCCACCCCTTAGGACACAGCCCACCCCACCAGAGCAGGAGACCACAGAATCCCTCACTGTTATTTTGTTCTCTGACTACCATCTCTTTGTGCTGTATATGTTAATTATTAACCAATGTAAAAGTATGTGTCTCTCTGTTTTACTTTTTAACCAGTCCCCGCTGCTTTGCTTTCTCCCTCTCCCTTAATCACCAATGGATTTCATGTAACCTTCCTTACATCTCCTCCTTTGTTTCTAATGTATAAAATAAGCTACAAAACCCATTCTCCAGAGCATTTTCTTAATTCTTTGAGATTTTGCTTCCCGGCAGTTGTCGTCAGTTTGGCTCAGGTAAACTCATTAAAATTCTCTACAGGTTTGGACGTTTCTTATGTCGACAATGTAAAACTGAGAATCAGCTGTGACCAAGTGACAGAAAGCAAACTGTCCTGGTAGAATTTTCACTCCTTTTCTGGCCACAAATCTGAGTCGTGTTTTTGAAGGCGTACCTGCCTTTCCCAACACCAAGACATTCAATTACCTACTATGGATAGAGACTGCAGCCTAATGGGGAAAACTAAGCCACTACACTAATAACTTAATTTCAATTGGCTACAAACGCTGTTAAAAATTTAACAGGGTTATTTAATTGAGAGTGTTAACAAAAATTTCAAAATAAATTAAAAGAGTTTTATTCATATACAATTTGCAAATCAGAGAACGTAGCCCTTTTAATGAACTGAAGACACACTCCAAAATGGAGGGGATAGGGCTAGGATTTTAAAGGAAGAAGTTGCAAGGAGCTCATGATCAAAGAGATAGGTTGTTAGGGGAAACAAGGCTACAAACTTACATTATTCATTTTCTGATTGGTGGGGGCAACTGGACTTTTCAAAGGTAGGCTGGCTCATGGTCAGCTAGTGGAGCTGTGATGCTAAAATAATGGGTAACATATGATTAGGCATTTGGCAACATCCTACTTCTAGTTTGGGCTTGTAGAACAAAAGCACTTGGGTTACTTATCAATAGAAATCAAACAGCTCAGAAGACTATTCTGCAGATTGTTTCCAGGTCCAGAGTGCAGAGTCATGCTCTGTAAGCAGCCTCAGAGTTTAAACTGCAAAAATCCAAATGTTTGGGCCACGAATTATGTTATTAAAGTTTTTATCAGTCCACAAGAGTTGCTAATTATAATTCCTGTATGTTTTCTTGTACACTGCACACTTCCTGTAGCTCTTAGCACACTGCCTGCCACAGGTTGGTTTGGGTTGCCCTGGAAAATAGGGTTGGTAATCGCTTCCATCATGTGATGACATAGGGAGAAGGAGGCTGTCTATAAACCAGGCTGGACACCAAGTCTGCCAGCACCTTGAGGTCTGGAGTAACCCATCTGAGTTTTGTTTGGGGGTCTGGAACAAGTGTTATAATCCCTCAGGCCTCCCAGGCTTAGCCAAGGTGTATGTTTCATAAGTAGCAAAACATGGGTATAATTCCTGAAATGAGGGTCAAATGCTACCTTTGCAACCCATGGGAGAATGAGAAAATAGTTTCTCAAATACGCCCACAATTCTTTGCTACTCCTTTCTTCAAGAGATGGAGCTTAATTTCCCTCTGCTTGAATGTGGGCTGGATTTAGCGACTTGCTTCTTATAAATAGAATAAGGCAGAAGTGATGATGTGTCACTTCTAAGACTAAGTCATAAAAAGGCCTGTGGCTTCCTCTTTGCTCTCTGTCTTTCTGAAACCACTTACATTGAGGGAAACTAGCTGCCATGTCTTGAGAACACTTGAGCAGCCTTATGGAAGGCCCACATGGTGAGAAACTGAGACCTCTTCCCAACAGCTAGTGAACAACTCAGGCTTCTTCTCAATAGTCATGTGGATGAGTCATCTTGGAAGTGGCTCCTCCAGCCCCAGTCAAGCCTTCAGATGATTACAACCCTGGCCAACATCATGACTACAATCTCAGAAAAGACCTTAACCCAGAATAACACAGCTAAACTGCTCCTGAATGCCTGGCTCACAGAAACTGTGCGATAAGAAATTGTT